AAAGAGGGCCCAAGCCAAGAGCACACCTGAGGGACCCATCACCCTGCCTTCCCCCCATGCACGGGGGCCCCCTGTAAGGGCTCCCCACTGGAGGGCGCAGCCATGCTCACCGTTGCTGTAATACTTCCCCAGGCTGTTGCTGCAGCTGCAGCTGCGGCCCATGTGGCTGCCCCCTGCCAAGGGAGGGCGAGCGTGAGGCTGCGGGACAGACGGACCCTCTAGCTCCCCACCCTGTGCTGCCTCCCTGAGCCACCAGGGGGCGCCCTGCAAGAGGCTGGGGGCTGCGTCTGCCCGCTCAGGGGGTGAGGCCCAAGCTCCCTCTAAGCTGCGCAGCCGCTACCTAACACACACGGGCTCCGGGCCTCCCCCTGCCGGCCCCAGCACTGAGGTGCCCCGGTGGTTCTCCTTGCTGGAGCGGGGGAGGGGGCACCTCCCCCCCCCAGCCATGATGCCCAGCCCATGAGGCTCTGGCTGGGGGTGTGGGCTCTGAGGTGGGGCTGAGGATGTCGGGTTTGGGGTTAGGCTGCCCCTGACTTGTGTCCCTTCCTTAGCCCCACCCAGCCTAGCCTGGACCCGCCCGGGCTGGAGGAAAGTAGCCCCTCCCTGACTCCAAGCTGCTGCTCCCTGGGGCAGTCTGTACCCCAAATCCTATATCATCAGCCCTGCCTCAGAGCCCACACCCCCAGCCAGAGCCCTCACATCGCACCCCAAGCCCTGAGCCTCCTCCCACCTCCTAGCCCCTCGGCCTCACCTCTGCCACAGTCAAGGTGTGGAATGACTTTTGTTCTGTGATACACCCCCTCCCTATTGGTGCACAGGACAAGTCAGCCCGCACATGGGCATAGAACGCCAGCAGGGCACTGCCTGAGGCCTCCTCTACTTCCCACTCTCCTTCTCGAACTACGAACTCTAACCACCTGCCTTCCCGGAGACGGGAAAAGAACGCAGGCGTCCTGCGCTGGGAACAGAGCCCACAGCCCCACTCTGTCCTGAGCATGAGACCCTCCCCCCACTGCGTTTCCTAAAGCCTAGCCCAGCCTAGACGCCAGGCCCAGCGCAGAACTGGGGCGCCTTCCCCTGCCCCCTTACCCAGCTGCCGGGATTTCAGCACCGGCACCCCATGGTGCTTCCAGTCAGCGGGCAGCGTGGCGTTGGCTCTCCATGTTCTTGATGTTGGGGAACAGCTGGTTGCAGGGCGCCTGTGGCCGAAACAAGGGGTGGAATCAGCCATGTCCTACTGCCCCCCGCCCATGGGATCCAGCTCGGCAGAGACGGGCGCTGGCCCCTTTGCCAGGCCAGTGTTTAGGGAACCGCAGGGTCGGTCCATGTGTCCGTGAAGAACCCTGCATTCTGGAGTGGCCCTTCCAAGCTGGAAGTAAAGTTGGGCTCCCCTCTTCAAAGTCCTCTGAAATCCACACACACTCTCCGATGGGCTCAAAAACCACCCTGCCTCCTGGGGAGGGGCTGGAGGGGTGTCTCTCCTCAGCCCATCCCCAGGGTTCCGGAGAATGAAAAGCTGGGAACTTCCCAGGAGCAGTGTCACGGCTGGGGCTGGGGCTTACCTTGAGGGAGCTGGCCCTGTCCTGGCTGCTGCGGGCGGGGGAGGCCGGCGTGCCCCGCGACAGGGTGTGTTAGCTCGGATTCGATTAGTAGTGGGTGTAGTTGGGTGGTAC